CAGATGTTTCATCCCAGTGGTCAGTAAACCCTAGGGATCTTGCTGTTCTGCAACTCTAGGGATGTAGCAAGTTTCCAGCCAATGGTAAGGTCCTGGTAAATATTCTCCTTATCCCTAATTCGTTTGTTGTTATGCCTGCTGAGCTATCCAATAACTTGAGGCTTGGTTCCTTCCCTGCTTCCCATGTCATATCATCCAAACATTCTTAGCCTCCGGAGGGACACTAAAAACCATTCCCATGAACATTTGGAAGATCTGACAGCAATCTACAGTGACATTCATCACTGGGCTTGCTTTTCCTTGGATTAATTTAATAAACCTTAGGTCACAGCTATAGCAAAATGTAACCCCTGAAATCCCAGTACTGTATAAAAGCCTGTTTGCCCTAAGTGTGTGCATTCCCTTGTTTGTTGAAATACTTCCACTGTAAAGAACTAGAGGATCCATTCATCCCATCTGGGGCACAGCTTTCATTGAAGACAGGAGGCCTGATAATGCACTTTCATTGATTTTGCTTATATGCTGCAGGTACATGGTCAAGGCCAAGTTACACCAGCTCTTCGCAAAATCACTTTTACACTAAAAAATATGCTCCCCCCGTGCGCCCCTTGTAAGATAGAGGGCATAATATGGTGAAAAAACGCTTGTGAGGCCTTCCAAAATGGAGACATAGTAAAGGCCAAAAGTAAAGGCCAGTTACATGCTCAAATTCTCCTACTTCTTATTTTGCTGCACAAATGCAGCACGAAAACAGAAAATAAAAAGTGAACACTCTGCATGTTGGGGGCTGGAAATCTTCTCTGTTATATACATGCAACCCCACTGATTTAATTGAAGATACACGGGTTTAATGGAGGTCTGCATTTTGGCCCATGTGGCCTCATTCGTGCACATATTGGTGATGATATGGAATCCTTGCTCTTTCGGCCCCCATAGTGGTGATATACTATATGACTTATTTATGATCTGTGTGACAAATATTGAAACCCCGTGAAATATCTTTGGAGGAACATATTGTATTAAGGTTATGAATGGTTTATGTACCACTGTGGGCCAGGAATTGTATGCAGCTGTGCGGGAGGGTTGCTTTTAGCTTCTCCAGGAACTAAAAACAATGGATGATGATTTAAGGTGAATCACTCAAGTTGTAAACACGTCTGGAGAAGTACCACCCCCTGGGGTCGTTTGCATATGCATGTTCACACTGGGTTTTCCAGAGACCTACAGACAAAGAAAGGGCTTCTGTCGTAAAAAGGATGCATTTAAACTGACTAGGGATCTTCTTTCTGGTCCAGCAAATGATAGGACCTTCTGTCCAAGGGAGACTCCAACTCTTGTAGAAGGTTTGGAAAGACTCTAGCCTATTAGGGTCCCATGGGGGCTGATGAGTAACTCATGATATTTTTGTGTGTGTTTTAAATCTGTCTATTGTTTTCTCTGTAATGCTTTTACCTTAAGAATAAAGGTGCTTCTTTAGAAGGAGCTGTGCAGTAACTTGTAACTGCTGGCAATATACTGTTCATAGCCCTTGGAGAGAAAGCAACACACAGAGGCTGGCCATTAGGCAAACTGGCTTGCCGTGGATATCACAGTGTAAGGCAGGGAACTGTGCCGCCTTAAAGCCCCTGTCAGGCGGGAGAGAGATGTGAGTCTCATCCAAAAGACATGACATCTGGGAGCCAGAAACTTTAAATGGGGGACCACAGAAGGTAAAAACAGATCCAATTACCCTGAAACTGTGACAGTCTGGATGTCATACTAACAGTAGCATGTGTTAGGACCTGGGGTGAACTGGAAAATGTACCATTTCATGTTCAGGCCTGTGTAGTTGAATGCATAGAAACACCATCCCTAGCAGATTTATATCCAAATGGGCCATATATCTGTTATAGGTATTATTCCTCTGCCTTCTAATGAGCTGCTGATTTTTTTGATTGAATGTCACTCTGTACTGAGTTTCAGGCAGTGCACATCAAGGAAGAAAGAGCTGCCAGGCAAACAAACATATACTTATGTACAGTAGCATTAGACAGTGTGTGCACACAGATAAGCCTCTTCTCATGCCTCCTCTGTTTCATTGGCTGCTATATGTTTATATATGTTCGGAGAGAGAGGCATAACTGAGGGCGATTTTTCAGCTCTGGAACAGATGTTACCTCTTCCATATATAGACTGAAACGGCAGTCACCATTTATTTCTGATGGTATAAACTTGAACATGTATGATGGGTTGACAAAGTGCAGTTTACACTTTGCAGTCCAGGAGTCATTTATGGGGCATCTTTTTCCCCTCCATGCTTTTTATATTTCAAACAGGGCTTCTGAAAAGCAGCAGGCAGAAAGGGACACATGCAGAAATTCACCCTTGTAGATGTATTTTACACAGCCTTTAAAAGCCTGGTGTCACTGAAAATTAGTTTTTAAAGATATCTCAATTAAGAGGTCCTCTGTTTCCCATATTAATGATTCTTGTTTCCTCTCCCATGTTATACTTTTCATGTTGCTATTTTTTTTTAATTGGGAGGTGCTCCCTTTGTGAGCTTTTAGCTGGATTAAATACTTGCAGCCCTGGAGTTTTAGTATCTGGTTACCATGGAAGAGAGAGACTGTGACATCAGAAGAGCTTGAGCAAAACCAAGCTTAAATGTTCCAGAGGAAATCAATTTTCTACATCATATTTTTCAGATGAATATGAGGAAAGGTCCAGCACCTTAGAAGGGAGACTTGAAGGAAATTGAGAAATTTAAGAACCTTGTAAACTGTTTCAAAACTTCTTACAACATAGCTAATGCTGCAAAACATACAAGAGCTGTCAAATACCAGTTACATGCTCAATAAAACCTACAAAAATTGCTTAATGCTAGTAGCCACTGTGCCATATGAAAGTCGTGCTGTACCCCAAATTGCGTCTTCCACTAGAAAACTCTGTTACTCGAAGTTTCTGATTTCAGCTCAAATAACCATGTTGCTGATTTAACATGAGAGATTTGACCTTGCTTTAGAATAACTGTGCTTTCACAGAATATCTTATTTCTCTGTGTAGATGGATGCAAATCTCAGAATTCAGACATGGATTTCAAACATCACAGAGCACAGTGGTGCTTCATATCTGGAGATGTGACTAGGCCCCTTATAAAGAGAGGACCCTGCCGCAAATCTGAGATTGAGGTTTGGTTTTTAAACACCACCAAAAATGGAGGAGCTTTAAAATCCAGGGTTTGGGGTTGGACCCATCTCCTATATTAGGTGAAAATGATCAGTTTTGCAGGCTTGGCTCTGTGACTATCTCCCAGGCTGACTTGAGTGAATGTCCTCGGTTCAAATCTCCATCAGTAATGATATAGGAATATTTAGAGGTTAATGTCAAAGAGAAGTAGCTCTGTTAAGCAGGGGATGGAAATAACTTCTGTCTCTAAGGCCACGTCTACACTACCCGCCGGATCGGTGGGTAGTGATCGATCTATCAGGGATCAATTTATCGCATCTAGTGTAGACGCAATAAATCGATCCCCGATCGCTCTGCTGTTGACTCCGGAACTCCACCAGGGCGAGAGGCAGAAGCGGAGTCGACAGGGGAGCAGCAGCGGTCGATCCCGCACCGCGAGGATGCGAAGTAAGTGATTCTAAGTTGATCTAAGATACGTCGACTTCAGCTACGCTATTCTCGTAGCTGAAGTTGCATATCTTAGATTGATCCCCCTTTCCCCCCACCTATATGTGGATAGTTTTTAAAGGCAGAGAGAGGGTGGGTGGGAGGCTTTAATCCAGAGACTGTGGGAAAGGGGAGGTATTCAGAGCAATAAGAATCCAAGGAAAGCTGCCAGTTTTGCCTGGGGTGAATTCCCAAGCCCCACAACGAGCATCCAATGCAACTCAGCTTAATCACTGCAACCATACAAAGAGCATGTGTCTGCAGGAGATTAAGGAGACTGGTAATGAGCTGGGGGATGCTGAGATGGAAATCGTTTGTAGGGAAGATGTTCAGGTTTCTTGTGGGGAAGAATCAGCAACTGGAATGGGGTCAGACCCCTCTTGAGTGAATTTTTAACTAGAGAAGGGCCCCAAACTGTAAAAAATGTGTCTGGAGTTCAAATCTCCCAAAGATTTGGGAATATTTAGATTTTGGAGGTTGGCTCAGGCTCACCTCTAGCTCAGGGTTAAATCTAATCCACTGTGTATATTTCCTGGGTTATAGCTCTCTGATCTGTTTACATATATCTGTATACACAGTTATGAGGAATAAAATCCTGCAGTAGTTCTCTCTGTGCTGGGGTAAAACAGTATATCAGGCTATGTTAAAGCTGAAGCTCTCAAAAGGGAGAATTTTTAGCAAAAGCCTGGCTAATTCATTTTCTTTTGCAATACCATAGCATAGTTACAAAATCCACAAGTTATTAAAAAAGCAAGCCATGGGCCCAGATTCTGCTAGTAATTTATATCCGTCTAAATCCAGAGTAACTGGATAAAAGTCAGTGTTTATCTGGATTTATTCTGGTGCAGCTGAGATAAGAACCAACCCTTCACAGTTGTGTGCTCAAAAGCAGAAAAGCACCCTAGTTTTGGGGGGATTTTGTTTGTTTTAAATACACTTCTTGCCTGGTAGGGAGTTATATTTATATCCCACTCTGTTCAAGTACAGCATTTAAATATTTCAGTATCAGGGGAGAATATGATTCATGATCAAGACCATTTTTCTGAGGCAGGGAGTCGGAAACTGAAGCAGTGAGAGTTAAAAATGCATTTTAAAAAATCGTGTTCAGTTGTTGGCTTCCCCAAATTGCTCCCAACCATTTGCACTAAGAAGATCTCACCTAGAGACCTGTGTCTGCCACAATTAGTCAGCATCACTGGGTGTTCTGGCCTGGAGTTATCCACCCTGGAGGAAGGGAGGGAAGAAATAATGAGAAGGGAAAGATTGGGAAAACAAATATTATCAGGGAGTTAAAAAGATCAGCCATCTGAGAGGATTTGCCATTTTTCATTGTATCTTGTTTTTCCAAGGGACCGAGCACCTTTTATCTTCACTTCAGAGATGGAGTATTTCATCACAGAAGGTGGAAAAAACCCACAGCGCTTCCAAGAGTTTGTGGAGCTTTGCTGTCGAGCTTATAATATAGTCAGGAAACACAGCCAATTGCTCTTGAACCTGCTGGAGATGGTAAGAACGTCAGGGATGTAACCAAAAAAACCCCAATCCCTCTTGTTTTCTTTTTCCCCTGTAGCTAGGCTTAGAAGAATTCGATTTTTATCGGTAAATGTCAATTTCATTGTACACCCCCGAACCAATTAATATATATATTTTTACCACTAATAAACTAAATTTACATTAAGGAAAAGTAAGAAAAATGCTGCTTGAGAAGTTACTAGCATTTGACTTAAGGGTCTTTACTTTGTATATTTTGACATGTGATGTGTACAATTTGTTAACCGTTCTAAAGGTTTAACTTTGAATCTCAGTGTCTACTGTCATTAAATAATTTCATGCAGTTGTGAAAATGTAAATCGATAAAACTTGAAAAAATGCTTAAATTTAGGAATCGATGTTATCACTCAAAGTTGTAAAATAATCAAATTCTGCCAAGTCTCTAGTACTGTGATTTAGAGCATTGCCACATTTCCAGGAATTCTTTTTCCCATGCAAATGTTAGTAACTTTATTTAGAGTGCCACCTTTGTGCCTGCAAAACATCATTCTGCCCTCTCTTTTGTGTGAAAGCTAATTATATTGTTGCTGATATTAAAGTTTCACCCTATTTTTTTTTCAAAATTGAAACATTTTTGTAAGATTTCAACCAATTGCAGAGCAACTCAAATTAAAAGGTTTTCTTTGGTGAATATTTCACCCGGTCCTAATTCCAGGTTTTCAAATAGCCATTTCCTAACTCTGTTCGGAATTAAAGAAGAGAACTAATTAAACTAAACGTACAGAATGTATTATGTTACAATACGCTATGGTGATTGATCTAGGACACTGCAGCCATTACAGTGTTTCGGGAGCCATTATTGTAGAATCCTGTCATGCTTTGTTACTGGGATAAATACAATAAGGAAAGAAGACTACATAAGGACTTCAAAGAAGAACCAGTTGTAGAGGGCAGCCTTGGTTCGAGTGATAATGAGCTAATTCAGTTTAGAGTAAATGGAAGGATAAACAAAAAATAGATCTGCAACTTGGATCCTTGATTTCAAAAGAACCTACTTAAAAACATTAAGGGAATTAGTTAGGGAAGTGGACTGGCCTGAAGAATTCAAGGATCCGAATGTGGAGGAGGCTTGGAATTAGTTTCTGCAACTTTGATTTAAAGTACCTGAAGCCTGCATCCCAACCAAGGAGAAAAAATTTGTAGGGAAGGGTTGCAGACAAAGCTGGATGAGCAGGCATCTGAAACAGGTGATTAAGAGAAAGCAGAAAGCCTACAAGGAATGGAAGATGGGAGGGATCAGCAAGGAAAGCTACCTGTTAGAAGTCAGAAAGTGAAGGGGATAAAATGAGAACTGCCAAAAGCCAAGCAGAGTTGGACCTTACAAAGGGAATTAAAACCAATAATAAAAGGTTTTATAGCCATATAAATAAGAAGAAAACAAGGAAAGAAGAAGTGGAACCACTAAGCACTGAGGATGGGGTGGAGATTAAAGATAATCTAGGCATGGCCAAAACCTAAATAAATAGTTTGCCTCAGTCTTTAATGAGGCTAATGAAGAGTTTAGGAGTAGTGGCAAGGTGGCTAATGGCAATGAGGATATGGAGGTAGAAATTACCACATCCAAGGTGGAAGTCAAACTGAAACAGCTTAATGGGACTAAATCAGGGAGTGGGGGGACAGATAATCTCCATCCAAGAATATTAAAGGAACTGGCATGTGAAATTGCAAGGCCAATAGCAAAGGTTTTTAATGAATCTGTAAAATCAGGGGTTGTGCCCTGTGACTGGAAAATTGCTAATATAGTTCCTGTTTATAAGAAAGGGGGGGAAAGTGATCCAAGAAACTACAGGCCTGTTATTTTTACCTCCGTGGTATGCGAGTTCTTGGAACAAATTTTGAAAGAGAAAGTAGTTAAAGACATAGAGGTGAATGGGAATTGGGGTAAAATACATGGTTTTACAAAAGGTAGATCGTGCCAAACCAACCTGATCTCCTTCGGGAATATAACTGATTTTTTAGACAAAGGAAATGCAGTAGATCTAATCTACCTGGATTTCAGTAAGGCATTTGATAAATCATTACTTACATTGGAGAAGATGGGGATTAATATGAGAATTAAAAGGTGGATAAGGAACTGGTTAAAGTGGAGACTAAAACAGGTCATGCTGAAAGGTGAGCTGTCAGGCTGGAGGGAGGTTACTAGTGGAGTTCCTCAGGGATTGATCTTGGGACCAGAATATCAGACAAGAATGATCTTGTAAACTGGAGTAATAGAAATGGGGTAAAATTTAATAATGCAAAGTGCAAGATCTTAGGGACAAACAACAAGAATTTTTGCTATAAGCTGGGGAAGTATCAGTAGGAAATGACAAAGGAGTTGAAAGACCTGAGTATATTGGTTGATTGCAGCCAATTGTGATGCAGCCGTGAAAAAGGCTCATGCAGTCCTAGAATGCACCGGGTAAGGTATTTCCAGTAGAGACAGGGGTGTGTTATCAGAGGCTTGTATAATAGTACTGAGGCTGAGAGGGGTAATCTGAGACTTTTATTGATTAATGTTTGTAAAGCACTTTCAGCTCTGCGGATGAGACATTACTCAGTAAAGCCCAAATCAAAGGCCCAGTGCAAACAGCAAGAAGCTGGACTGTGCATTGCAGGGCTTCTCTAGGGGAGGAGCAATGGAATCCCCGACTAAGCCTGTGGAATGGTCATAGATCGGCTACACAACTGCTAGTAAATCCGTAGGGCTCTGCATCACGTGTACCCCTCATACGCAGAAGAGGAGAAATGATAGGTATGGCGGTGAGTGGATCTGCTGTCTTCTCCGCATATTCTTGTTGTGTGGTGGCATGCCAGGAGACTTCACAATGCTGTACTGCATGGCACTAAGGATCGTTTGTGCCCAGCACAGGATCCCCAAATCTTACCTCTCTGAGCACCCTCTGATGTGCAGCAAAACTGCACTCCTATGGCCAAAATGAAAATTATACATTGCAAAATATGCCATGTGTCTCCCATCTTAAAGCAATTTTGAAGCTAGAACTGGGGCATGCAATGGGATGCCCAGTATGGAGTACAGAGATCATAGACAATCGTATGACTGGAAGGGCTCTTGAGAAGTCATCTAGTCCAGTCCCGTGCACTCCTGGCAGGACTAAGTATTATCTAGACCATCCCTGACAGGTGTTTGTCTAACCTGCTCTTAAAAATCTCCAAGGACAGAGATTCCACAACCTCTCTGGGCAAATTATTCCAGTGCTTAACCACCCTGACAGTTAGGGAGTTTTCCTAATGTCCAACCTAAACCGCCCTTGCTGGAATTTAAGCCCATTGCTTCTTGTCCTATCCTCAGAGTTGAGAGAGAAAAAAATTTCTCCCTCCTCCTTGTAACAACCTTTTATGTGGTTAAAAACTGTTATAATGTCCCCTCTCAGTCTTCTCTTCTATAGATTAAACAAACCCAATTTTTTTAATATTTCCTCCTTCGTCATATTTTCTAGACCTTTAATCATTTTTGTTGCTCTTCCTTGGACTTTGTCCACATCTTTTCTGAAATGTGGCACCCAGAACTGGACACAGTACTCCAATTGAGGCCTAATCAGCATGGAGTAGAGTGGAAGAATTACGTCTAGTGTCTTGCTTACAACACTCCTGCTAATACATCCCAGAATGATGTTTGCTTTTTTTTTTTTGCAACAGTGTTACACTGTTGACTCATATTTAGCTTGTGATCCACTATGACCCCCAGATCTCTTTCCACAGTACTCCTTCCTTGGCAGTTATTTCCCATTTTGTATGTGTGCAACAGATTGTTCCTTCCTAAGTGGTGTACTTTGCGTTTGTCCTTATTGAATTTCTTCCTCTTTTCTTCAGACCATTTTTCCAGTTTGTCCAGATCATTTTGAATTGTAATCCTATCCTCCAAAGCACTTGCAACCCCTCCCAGCTTGGTATCATTTGCAAACTTTATAGGTGTATTCTCTATTCCATTATTTAAACCATTGATGAAGATATTGAACACAACTGGAGCCAGAACTGATCCCTGTGGGAGCCCATTTGATAGCTTGACTGTGAACATGGACATCTGTGCTCAATGATCCATGCTGGTTACCTGAGAGCTTCTGGATAGATTTTTAAAGTTGTGGTTTTAACCCATAAAGCTCTAAATTGCCTAGTACCAGGTCCCCCTGTGAGACCGCCTCTTTCCCTTTAATGTGTGATGGTTGCAGTTAGCAGAGGTGTTGATGCTAGAGCCCCTTTCATATAACAGAGAAGGTGATGCTGGGAGAGTGTTCTGCACAAGGGCCACAGAGCTCTGGAATGCCTCCCGCCCCAGGTCTCTCATAGTTTGGATCAGTTGGCATTCAGGGCACATTGCTGGTTCCATTTGTTTCACATGGCCTTTGAAAAGAAGTATTGGATTGAGCTACAGGCCAACATACAGCGGTGTGTTAGCACTTGATTATAAGGTGCAGCTTGGTGGAAGGATGAGTTTGATGGTATTGCACTCTGGTTTGGTGACTGTAAATAACTGACAGGGGAACTCAGAGCCTGTGGATGAGTGTTCTTATTTCTTCTAAGTGAAAGGAAATAAAACAAACATAGGAAGTTGAGTGTGATGGGGTGTATCGTTTGAGGACTCCGGCTAGAGGCCCAGCAATCCTACCACACACACACAGCCTGGGAAGGAGCAGTGAAGGTGAGTCTAGGATGACCAGATGCCCTGATATTATCAGGACCATCCCAATATTAGGGACTTTTTCTTATATAGATAACTAATTCCCACCCTGTCCTGATTTTTCACACTGGCTATCTGGTCACCCTAGATGGAGCTTCCAGGCCTGCCTAGAGAGGCCTTGTGGAAGCAGCCAATTAGAGCCCAGTAGACTCCGATAAAAAGAGCTGCAAGGCCTAAGCGGGTCAGTCCCTGGCTGGGACAAGAAGGGTGAGGATGGGTTCTCTGCTCTGACCAGAGGAGCTCAATGGGCTGATCTACTGGCCCTAGGAAGGAGAAG